AAACTTGCCTAAATCCTCCGCGTCCTTTCTTTCCTCCAATGTTCTTGTCCACACCTCCTCCATCTACCGGCTGCGCCGTTCCGGGCGCTCCCCTGCACCTGCGGGCCGAGTACCCCCCGAATTATTGCGACTGGCAGCCCCCATCTTGGCCGCGCCTTGCGCCTCGCAGATCGTTTGCAAGACGCCAGCACCCAACTTTTAGTTAATGGTGCACTGCCCCTTGTCTCTGCATCGTCTGGGACTGCCTCCTGATCTTCGAACTGCTCGCGGTAGTCATCCTCGTATGTCGGCACATGTCGTGCTACCGTTCCCCAGATCTGAGGCTCTTCTGTCCGCGCGTCGGTGTCCCAGTGGTCTTCTGCTGTATATTGTCTTGGCCCCCCTCCCATTGTCTGGCGTGTCACTCGTAAGTTGCGCAGGGTGCTGAAATCGTCTCTTTGATGGGCGTCCCATGCTTCTTGACGAGGGTTGGTTCTACGTGATGTCATTGCTTATTCCCTGAATTGTTTGAGCAACGCAAGTGTCTCGCTCACACATGAATATGTCCCCTGACTCTGGCTCTGCGATCCCTTCTGTGAGCTTGCTCCTGATCTCCCTCCTCCTCATCCTCCTCTGCAGCACGCTTATCCTGTCTTTTCTGACCAGAGCCGCAGCGTTATCAAGAGGCCCCCCCCCTTTGACCAGAACATTGGTCAAGTGCATGTCTCGTGGCTCCGATCCACAGGGCTCTCCATCTGTCCTCCAGTGCTCCCATCTTTTCTTCCAGGCAGGCGAACGAGTCAGGTCGTGATTTGCCTGCTCGTAGGCATTCCATCAGCTGGCCGCGATTTGGCAGGGGGCCCCTTTTCTGTTGTGGCTGTCGAAACCGGAGCGGGTCGTACTGGGGAGGCGGGTGCCTATCGGGATGTGGTCCCCGTGCCCCTCTGGCTTTTCTACACTGCGGCCTCTTGGCCACTGTCCTGAGGGCGAAGCATTTTTTCTTTTCCTCCCACCCCACACACACAGGATGGCACTCATTGCTATTACCGCTCCTCACACTCGCATACCCTCCAAACGGATAGAAGCCCATTCAAACGAAGGGAGCCCACTGTGACGGCGCGCTACCCACACAGACAACGAGACAATGGAACAAGCATCACACGATTGTGAGCGGTTGCATCGAACTGGCAAGACAACTACCCAAGGTGCGTGAATGGCGGCATCGGGGTTCTGCTGCCAAACGCGTCAGCGTCGTCCTCCTGGGAACAGTAGGAGGAGGAGGAGGAGGAGGAGGAGGAGGAGGAGGAGGAGGAGGAGGAGGAGGAGGAGGAGGAGGAGGAGGAGGAGGAGGAGGAAAGAGCAGGGGGAGAAGAGAGAGGGGGAGGGAGAGACGCCCGAGGAGGGTAGCGGGCCATCGAACGCCAGGAAAGGAAACTCGCGGTGCGCAGACCGAACACCCCGAGCAGTGCCAGAGCTGGTGCCCGCACGGATATCCCTCACGAGTCTCCTTTGAACTGCGGTCGCAAGTTGAGGTACCCCCCACAGCAGCCTGGATGGAAGGGCTGTGGCGGCTCGCCAGATGAGCGAGTACCTAGCGCCTTTGATTGCCGATGCGACGCACGGGTAAGGGAAGAGGAAGAAGCAAAACAGAGAAGGAAGCAGAAGGACGAGAGCGAACGGTAAGGACTACGACAAGAAGTTGAAGGCCGCACGAGGGGGTGCAGGGCACGGGAAGCTCTGGGAGCGAACCGTCCCTGACGCCCCCAGGGCGGTGGACGCGAATATGCAAAACAACATTCTGACCGATACTGGAAGGCAGCGGAAGGCGGAAGGCACAAGAAGGAGGAGGGAGGGAAGCAGCAAAGAACAACAACTGGCAGCATTTGAGGCCTGTGCCTCGGATGCCCCCCCCCACACGGGGGCCGACGACGGCGACAAAGGCGGCGACGACGACGACGACGACGTCGACGACGGCGACAAAGGCGACGACGACGACGACGACGACCACAGCGACCACGACGGAAACGAAGACGACAACGACGGCGACGACGACGGGGGAACAAGGAAGGAGGGAGGACACCGCAACTGCAGCAGCAGAGGGGGGGGGAGACGCACGAGGGGGAGAGAAGCGGTCCCCTGCTCCCAAGGCGTGGCCCTGCCCCCAAAGGCGTGGCGCCCCCCGGGGGAGGCGCCCGGCGGACAGCCGTGCGGCCCCCCACGCCGGAACTCTGCCCGAGCGGGCGGGGCCGTCAGAGAGGTCGTCGGCGGGGCCGTCGGGGGTGCAGCCCGTGCTGCAGTCCCAGACCCCCTCGAGTCATGAAAAAATCACGACGGGAGATTTTTCGCTATTTTCGGCCTCCGGGGGCCCTTACCGGGCCTCGGGACCGCCAAAAAACGATTCAGGACGAAAAACCGGTCCCGGGGAATGGGTCGGGACCTTTGGGGGTCGCGTCATGAAAAAATCATGACGTCGGGGGTCTGGGGTCGGACTTGCCCCGGGGCCCGCAGCCAGTGCCGCTGGAGATCGATGCTGCTGCCGTCGTTGCCTGCGCGGGTGCGGTCGTCGGCGAGGCCGTCGGCGAGGCCGTTGGGATGTTGCCCATGCTGCAATCGGACGCGTCCTCGTGATTGGCGCCGCTCTCGTCGTCGTGATCGTGGCCGCTGGCGTGGCCGCACAGGTGGTCGCGGTCGTCGCGGCCGTAGTCGTAGCTGCCCCCGAAAGTTGTGCCACGCGGGATCGAAGTTGGCGCCGGAGCCTGCGTCGAAGTCGGAGACTCGGCAGTTGGGGCGAGAGTTGGATGTGGCGTCGGAGCTGGTGTCGAGGGAGGCGTCGGGCCCGCCGATGTCACTTCAGGCTCAAAACGCGAAGGTAGGGATCATCACGGCACGGTGCAGCACTAAGGACCCCGAGTCCCAGGAGTGCGAAGCACGACTGCCAGCAACACGACACCGAGTAGCAAGACGGGCTCCAGCAGTGCGACGCTGAGCAGCACGCTGGCCTCGTGACGATGACCTCCACGACCACCCCATGGCGTCAATGCGGGCACATGTTCCAACTCATACTTGCTGCGACTTCCATCCCCCCTCCACGCCCGACGGTTGCGCTAGCTCTGCCGCTTGCGCCGCCCCCTGCTCCGAAGCATGTTTTACTAGTGGTAGGGCCGCCTAATGGTAGGGCCGCTGTGGGGATCGTTATGTGGCCTGTTTTTCTGCAACCCCCTTTAGCCCCAAAGTGTGTCAATCTGACGTTGTAGCAGGTCGTGGCAATGTATAACGAACTGTTTCTGCACACTTGTCTGAAGCAGCGGCCATTTTCGCTTACGGTATGCCTGGTTGCCTGTCTTACTGTCATTCCCAAGCGTTTGCCTATCAATCTGGCACTAGCCAAGTGTAACCAGAATTGGCCGTTCACGTCTCCTCCAATCACACTCGTGGTTCTGCTTCCGAGCGGGTCACACCCATCTTCGACCCAATATGTAATCCTCGTAAAATTGTCCTGGTAGCTCTTCGCATGTGTGGGCGTGAACTAGCTAACAAAGAAGCATACATCTACACTTCGCGACGCAATCCTTCGTCCTGATGTCCTGCCCTGAATGGTCGTGCGGGGGTGTGCACGTATCTCCGGGCGCCTCTCTCGGAACATGGTTGGCTAAAATAAGAATCGTACTACATGCTTTCGTCACTGGTATCATGTTTTCCCCTCCGAGCTGTAACCCCCAATCGTGAGGTAGGCTTATCGTGGTAGTGGCCTCTGCACCTGCAACTTACTTGGTGCAGCATAATTGTACTGACGTCCCACCTTTCAGCTCCTGGCTGAGGTCCTCTAGCCTCTCGACTGTGGAAACTGCCAGTGGCTTGTACGCCAGTAACTTCAGTGCAAGCAAGACGCATAATCATCTGGAACATGCCCCGCCTCCCCCTCACTCCTCTTTGCCGTGGGTTGGAGAAAGCGGCCGAGAGGTTGCTAGGGCGGAGCTGTGTGCCCTTTTGGCGGGTTGGTAATCTCTCGAACCTTCCGGCGGCAACCTGCGAGGAGGATGAGGAGGATGAGGATGAGGAGGAGGAAAAGAAGGAGGAGGAGGAAGAGGAGGATGAGGAGGTCGAGGAGGAAGAGGAGAAGGAGGAGGAGGAAGCGGAGGAGGAGGAGGAGGACCAGTGTAAACTCAAGACTCAGCAAAGATAACAACAATATAACAACAAACCATCCCTCCACGTTCCCTCTCCATAGGCTCCATACAAGGATTTTACTCTCATTGAAGGAAATGCCCCGTTGGAAGACAACCGTCTGAAAATCCCGAACTGTGCCAGAGCACCATTCCTGAGACTCCAACGCCGCAAATCACCATTACTGTTGCCCTTTGACCAAATTCCATTCCTGGGACTTCAACACAACTGTTGCGCCCTGACGGTCTGACCTTACGCAACAACAACAATTCTGGGACGCTAACCATGAGAACCCCTGGAGTTGCTGTAAACTTTTAAAACGAATCACGAACGTGCGCGGCGCTGATGCGAGAACCACATGTTGATGAAACTCTTGCAATGTTAAAACGAAGTGCGCAACACAAAACAACGAGAGACACATCTTGAAACCGTCCCGCACTCCATCCGTGAAGCTCTTGTAGTTTTTGAAAACGAATGCGCGCGGAACGAAGGCGAGAACCACGTTTTGAAAACGGCCTGCCCTCCATCCGTGAAGCTCCAACAATGCCTTACCGCGATTGTGCGCGGCGCTGAGGCGATAACCACACATTTTGAAAACGGCCCGCCCTCCATCCGTGACGCCCCTGTACCTTTTGAGAAGCATGTGCGCGGCGCTGCAGCGATGACAACATTTTGAAAAGCAGCCCTCCCTCCATCCGTGGGAGGAGGAGGAGGAAGAGAAGGAAAGGGAGGAGGAGGGCGAGGGAAGAGGAGGAGGGAGGAGGGAGGAGGAGGGTGGGCTAGGAGGGGGAACACGAGGGGGGGGTGATGCCAAACAGTAAAAGCACAGAGGGGTGCAAAAGCGCTGAATCCGCCGCCTGATCAGCTCGCAGGCCCCCGGAACCGCGAGCTTCATGCTCCGGACCTTAGAAACATCGTCCCCATCCCCGCTTCTCACCCTCTTCCTCCGCCTCCTCCTCCTATTTTTCTTCCTGTCTCTCCTCCTCCTCCTCCTCCTCCTCCTCCTCCTCCTCCTCCTCCTCCTCCTCCTCCTCCTCCTCCTCCTCCTCCTCCTCCCCCTCCTTCTCCTCCTCCTCCTTGCCTTCCTGTCCTGACCCCCCCTTCTTCACCCTTCCTCCCCCTACCTCCTTCTCCTCCTCCTTCTCCTCCTCCTCCTCCTCCTGGCTTGTCTCCTCCACCTCCTCCTCCAACTCTTCATCCTCCTAATTTTTGTTCTTCCATGTTTTGCTCATGTGGACTGGCCCCCGCGCCTGTGGATCACAGGCGGAGCTGAGGGGCTAACGCGCGCGGCCGCCGTCCTCGCAGCCACCGAGACAGGCGCACCATGGCCCTCCTCTCAGAACGAACTCCCATTCTTCATGAACACACAGGCCAGCAGGAGGCCTCCGATGTCCTGGACTCCTCCCAAAACTTGTTCGTTCTGGGAAAAGACACGGCGGCCAGAGATATGGAAATGAGAGCATCACCGCCAGCGCTCTCACGACTGGGCCACGCGCGCGCGCGCTCCTTCGAGCGCGCCGCGTGGATGCAGGCGCTGCACGGGAAGCGGCGCAGGCAGCAGGAGAAGCCTTCGCCATCACCGTGCTCGAGTTGATCCAGTGCTTCGAACACGACAAGCACCATCTGGTGTGGGAGGCGGACCTCCTTACTGGGGCTTCCCGACGCGCCTCCTCCGGGTCATGCTCCGCGCATGCTCCATGACGCGAAGAGTCGCCCGCGACGGGGCAGTGGCAGGAGGCAGGGAGTGGGCGCAGGGGCTAGTGGCAGGATCGGTCCACGCGCCCGTCCGGCTCAAGATGGTACTGACGAGAGAGCTCGACCTCGTCCGCGCCGTCTTCCCCAGCATCGACCCATGCGCGTATCACGACGACCTCGCGGTCGCCAACCACGGGGACGTGACCGAGGTCGCCAAGGAGCAGCACTCCAACGCCGTCGACTCCATGATCCACAGGTTTGAGAACCTCCTCCGGCTTCCAGTTTCGCGGGGCGCGAAGGGCAAGACAGTCGCCCATTCCTCCACGAAGGAACTCGAGGACCAGCTGCTCGACCGCGCAAAGAGCTCGGACACCCGCCATGCTCGCCATGCAGTGCACCTCGGTGTATCCACGGCCGCGGGCCGCCGCCGCCGAGTGGGGGCTCAGATCAAGCATATCAAAACCTTCCAGAAGCGCGGCCAGAAGCTGAAGCGGCCACGACGCGCTGGTGGACAACAGGGAACACAGAAGATCGTTACGGCCACCAAAATCCCGATTGCGCTCCACGGGACCACGGTGGTCGGCGCCTCGGACACCATCATCCAGGGTCTGAGGCGAGATGCAGCCATGGCCTACCCTGGCTACAGAGCGGGCAGGTCCACGCGCTTCACCCTCCTCCCTGGAGGGCGCAGACCCCGCCGTTCGCGCGAGTGCTGGCCCAATCGCACAGTGGTCCTTGGCGTGGCACGATGCGGCCAGCGACGCTACGCTCCGGGAGCGACTTGTCACAGCATGGACGAGATGGTCCATGCGGCGCCTCGCATCTGCTTCAGAACCCTGGTCGCTCGCGAAAGGCTCAGCTGGGACCTTCCCGGGGGCCGTTCGCCGTCTGGGATGGCAGTCTCATCAGCCGTGGTCCATCAGTGTAGACAGCTTCAGATATCACCTTCGCTGCGAGAGCGCATGGACGCTCCACAAGCTAGTCCAAGCAGCATGCGCTGCCCAACTGCAGCTGCAGTGGATGGGGCGGTGGGGGTCGGAGCTGGGGATTGCAGGAAGGGTGTTCATCGAATCGACCGCTGATACAGCGCCCGCTAAGCAAAAATCGACCGCGGCTCGTAGGACTGGAGTCAGGACGCTCTACACAGGGGCCATGTGGTCTCAAGCGCGCCTTTTCCAGAAAGGGCTGGACGCCTCACTACTTTGTGTAGCTTGCGGACGAGAAGACAGGCACAGACAGACACCGCACGTTTCGCTGCCCAGCAAGAGCCGAGGCGCCCCGACAGGATCATCGGAAGCTCCAGCTCCGCGGGGCCGCTCCTCCTCCTCTCTACCCGGACATCGAGGCTCTCTGGGGTCGGGGACTAGTTCAGGATCCTGCTCTGCGCCTCAGGTCGCTGTGAGTTTCCCATGACATCGTCCGAGACGGTCAAGACGATGGTTACATTTCGGGGGATGTATACACTGACGGCTCCCTCCTGAACTGAATGTGTAAAGCCATCCGTAGGGCAAGCTGGCGGTTTGCTACCGTGGACGGGATAGTGCAGGACATTTTCAAGGCTTACGGCCCGCTGCCGCTCCTCCACGAAGATCAGAACATATTCGCCGCTGAGCTTTGGCAACATGCATGGCTCTCACGACCGCAGCGGCGCCAGTGCGCGTCCACACGGACTGCGCAAACGTGATATCGGAAATGTTACGTGAACGGGATTGGTTCACGAGGCCCAGCCAACCCCATGTTCGCACGTGGCATCGATTGTGTCACCTCGTCGAAGAACACGGCGGACTCGGCCCGATAAGCTTCTCGAAAGTCACAGCTCCTGCTACCCGAGCTGAGCGCGCTCAGATGGGCGATAGGGATTCCTTGGGCAACCGCGTCGCGGGTCTGGGGGCCAAAGCACGGGTACGCATGCTCCAGCACCAGCACCCAGAGTGGCAGCGCCAGCAATCTATATATATATATATATGTATATATACATATATGTATATATAAATATGTATATGCTCGCTCCATATATGTATGTATATATATATATGGAGCGAGCATATTTAACCCTATTTAACAAAATTGAAGGGGTCCTCGATTTTGCTGCAACAGTCGGAGTCAAACCGTCAGACGTAGTAGACTCCGAGAAAGGCCCACCTACTGAGCCGTCTCCCACCTCAGGCACTGCGGGAAGTGGTGGTGGTGGTGGTGGTGGTGGTGGTGGTGGTGGTGGTGGTGGTGGTGGCGGTGGTGGTGGTCCTCCTCCCTCTCCTGCTCCTAACACGGCTTAAGGGGGAGGGCGACAGGCAAGCCACTCCCAGCGGAGTGCTGGCAGACCGCTTGGCACCAGCTCCCGCGAGGGGGTCCGAGCCACCGGCCCTGCCCTCCAAAAAGCACCGACATGGCACGCCGAGCCCTCGCCCCCCCTCGGTGCACCGGGGCCCTCCTGGTACACCGACTGGGGTGGAGGCTCGGTCCACGAAAGGCTGTACTGGGTGCGGGGGGGACGCAGCGATGCCACCTGGGGCCTTCGGTGGGGCTCCCTTCTGGGGCCACGGAGCGCTGTACGGGGTGCGGCGGACGCATGCGGGCACCCCCACTGGGGCCCTTCGGTGGAGCTCCCTATGGGGTCACGAAGCGCTGTACTGGGTGTGGCGGACGCATGCGGGCGGTCCACCTGGGGCCTTCGGTGGAGCCCCCCCATGGGGCCACGAAGCGCTGTACTGGTTGTGGCGGACGCATGCGGGCGGTTCCACTGGGACCTTCTGTGGGGCTCCCTACGGGGCCACGAAGCGCTGTACTGAGTGTGGCCCACTGGGGCCTTCGGTGGAGCCCCCATGGGGCCACGAAACGCTGTACTGGGTGTGGCGGACGCATGCGGGCACCCCCACCGGGTCCTTCGGTGGAGCTCCCTATGGGGCCACGAAGCGCTGTACAGACTGAGTGTGGTGGACGCATGCGGGCAACCCCACTGGGGCCTTCGGTGGAGCTCCTTCTGGGGCCACGAAACGCTGTACTGGGTGGGGGGGATGCATGCTGACACCCCCACTGGGGCCTTCGGTGGATCTCCCTTCTGGGGCCACGGAGCGCTGTACTGGGTGTGGCGGACGCATGCGGGCACCCCCACCGGGGCCTTCGGTGGAGCTCCCTATGGGGCCACGAAGCGCTGTACTGGGTGTGGCGGACGCATGCGGGCGGTCCACCTGGGGCCTTCGGTGGAGGCCCCCCATGGGGCCACGAAACGCTGTACTGGTTGTGGCGGAAGCATGCCGGCGATCCCACTTGGACATTCTGTGGAGCTCCCTATGGGGCCACGAAGCGCTGTACTGAGTGTGGCCCACTGGGGCCTTCGGTGGAGCCCCCATGGGGCCACGAAACGCTGTACTGGGTGTGGCGGACGCATGCGGGCACCCCCACCGGGTCCTTCGGTGGAGCTCCCTATGGGGCCACGAAGCGCTGTACAGACTGAGTGTGGTGGACGCATGCGGGCAGCCCCACTGGGGCCTTCGGTAGAACTCCTTCTGGGGCCACGAAACGCTGTACTGGGTGGGGGGGGGGCTGCATGCTGACACCCCCACTGGGGCCTTCGGTGGATCTCCCTTCTGTGGCCACGAAGCGCTGTACTTGGTGTGGCGGACGCATGCGGGGACCACCACTGGGGCCTTCGGTGGAGCTCCCTATGGGGTCACGAAGCGCTGTACTGGGTGTGGCGGACGCATGCGGGCGGTCCACCTGGGGCCTTCGGTGGAGCCCCCCCATGGGGCCACGAAACGCTGTACTGGTTGTGGCGGACGCATGCGGGCGGTCCCACTGGGACCTTCTGTGGGGCTCCCTACGGGGCCACGAAGCGCTGTACTGAGTGTGGCCCACTGGGGCCTTCGGTGGAGCCCCCATGGGGCCACGCAACGCTGTACTGGGTGTGGCGGACGCATGCGGGCACCCCCACCGGAGCCTTCGGTGGAGCTCCCTATGGGGCCACGAAGCGCTGCACCGAGTGTGGCGGAAGCATGCGGGCAGCCCCACCTGGGGCCTTCGGTGGAGCCCCCCCATGGGGCCACGAAACGCTGTACTGGTTGTGGCGGTTGTGGAGGACGCATGCGGGCGGTCCCACTGGGACCTTCTGTGGAGCTCCCTATGGAGCCACGAAGCGCTGTACTGAGTGTGGCCCACTGGGGCCTTCGGTGGAGCCCCCATGGGGCCACGAAACGCTGTACTGGGTGTGGCGGACGCATGCGGGCACCCCCACCGGGTCCTTCGGTGGAGC